CATGATAAAACTAACCTAGCAGAGATATATAACTAACCTAGCATAATCATACAACTAATCTAGCACCATCAGACAATTAACCTAGCATGTTAGGTTATTTATATTTAATTGTAAGTTTAGTTGTCAACGGTCAACGCCGGAAGTCAACGGTCAACGCCGGAAGTCAACGAATTTTCGCCGAAAGTCAACGGATTTTCACCGGAAGTCAACGCCGGAGTCAACGGTCAACGCCGGAAGTCAATGGTCAACACCGGAGTCAACGGGTCAAAATAATATTTAAATAATTAAAATAATTAAAAGAAAAGATTAAATCTTAGCCACTCATTATGTACCAAATCTTGTGACTAGAAATGAGCCTCACTTCCTCACTTTAAGAATGTGGATGCATTGGAACCAATCCCTATATATATATATATACACACATATATAGCACTAGTTAAAATTTTATTGCTACTTTTAATAAAATACATCATAGTTAAAAATAGCACTAAAATACAAACAATCATAGCATTACATACAATTAAAAATAACGGTTCTCACGGTTCTCACACTAAGACTTGGTTCTCATTTGAGCCACATCCTATATATAAGGATTGATTCCAATACATCCGCTATTTAAAGTGAGGACATAGACTCAATCCTAGTCACTAAAAGACTATCAAGATGTGTGGCCAAGATTTAACTCTTTATTTAAATAATAATTTTTTATTTTAATTATTTTAGTTATTTAAATATTATTTTGACCATTGACCATTGACCGTTGACTTCCGGCGTTAACGCCCGGCGAAAGTCGTTGAATTTCGGCATTGACCGTTGACTTCTGGTGTTGACCATTGACCTCTAATATGTATTATGTAATCCTTTACAACTATTGATAAATAACTTTGGTACTAGATACAACTAATATTTCAACTAAATATATCTAACCTTGCAACTACTGAAAACTAACCTTGCAACTAGATACAACTAATATTGCAACTACAGATAACTAACTTTGCAACTAAAGACAACTAACCTTTCAACTAAAACACAAATAACCTTGCAAAAATAGATAATTAAACTTGTAACTACAGACAACTAACATTGCAATTGCAGATAACTAAACTTGCAACTTGATTGGTCGAAAAATGTGCGCGTTTTATATATTTAATAGTGTACTTTTATATGCTTAATTTATTCGCACATTTACATTCTTTGACTTATTTATTATTTGGATGGATTTATTTGCTTTGATGTTTTATATGTTATTTTTCAGTATTTTGGAGTATATATGCGGACGCGACGTATTGGACGGAAATTAACGTGAGCTATGGCCGGACAGCCCAATACCAGAAAATGAAGGGCCACAATAAATTAGTTTGGGCTTGAGACAAATAATTGATATTGGCCATAGAATCAATTGTTGGAAGTGGAATTCTACTCACGTGAAAAGAAAAAGAAAAAAATATTGGGCCCATGACTAATATGAAAGTCCAATTCCTTTGGACAAATGAAGACTAGAATTCACGCATAACAGCAGAAAAAGAAGAGCCGCCAAGCATACCGGGGAAGAGATACTCACGCCGCAACAGAGGAGAGAGAAAAAGCGGACAGATTCAAGAGGACACGCGAGGAAGCCGATAGATCGCGGAGGGAGACCGCACTCGTACACGAGGGAGATAATTAATCTCTCTCTTTTATCTTTTATTTATTTTTATTTATTATGTTAGAGTAGATTTTATTCTAGTTCCGGGGATGTCGAACCCTACAACTTGACGATGTTTGATTGATTTATGTGGTTGATTATTGAGTTGTCTTTTTGGAATTGTTTGTGTTATTTTTAATAATTTACCATGATGTGTTTAGTCTTGTTTAGTTTGATCACCTAGATTAGGCGTTGCATATCTACATCTGAATTAGACCTTCAATCCGTAATTGTTGTTGTGTTTAATT